TCGCCGGTCGCCCAACGAGACGCGATCGGGCCCCTCGGGAATCGGCGCGCCCCGCCCATCGCGCGCGCGATCTTGGCCGATCCTGCTCGCCGCGTGAACTCGGTGACATCAAGGTAGAAGGCCTGGTTGAACGACTTCCAGCTCGCCAGCGCCGCCCCGAGGAGCCGCGACGCCTTGCGGCGATCGGCGCAGACCGAGCCGGCGGAGCGCCGGGCGCGCTGGGCGACCTCCTCGCGAGCACGGCCGCCGTCAGCACGCGCGCGAACGTCTCGGCGCCAGGATGGCCCAAGTTCACGCGGCGACGCCCCGCGCACCTGAACGCGCTCTGGCCAAGCTCGCTCTCCAAGAGCCTGCCAGCGTAGATGTCCTGCAAGTCCTCGTCGTCACGCTTCGCCGCGGCGGGTGAGATGCGCCCCGCAAGGCCTTCGTCCTCCTCGACCTCCAGCACGGGGAAGGATGCGCCCTGCGCGATCGGCTTGCACAGCAGGCCACTCAACCTCTTCACCAGCTGGGCGCCGCAATTGTCTGCAAACTTTGCCCGCGCACGCCGGCGCCGGGCACCCGGCCCTCGAGCTACACGCGGCTTCGATCCTTGCAGCACTGGCACGTGCACAAACCTTCGGCAAGACACCGCTTAGCGGCGCGAGCTCCAGCCCTCTTGCGCGCGGGCCATTCTCCTCCAAGCCGGCCACGCACTGGTCAAATCGCGCATAATGTTCAGGAAAGTTGCACCTAGCTTTCGTTTTCCAGCATCTCGCCGTGGCGGGTTGCCCCACATCTGCGCGTCGACCTGCACTCCTCTGCGCGAGGTAGGTCTTCCTGCAGAACATCAGGGGCACGTCGTGGTACTCTCCTCTTGGCCCTCGAACGCGCGCGGTTGCCCTGCGCCCTGCAACTGAGATCCTGCATCATTGCCCACAGCCTGCGCCCAGGACTCATCCGAACGTCGTCTGGCTCCTCCTGCTCAATCACCCAGAGGGACTTCAGCCGCGCACGTGCGTCGCTGAAGTCCCAGCCGTCGTGGAGCCCGAACGTTCTGGCCCGAAAACCTCGTCGTCGCAAGTCCGCTGAAATGCGATTGGCCACCGTGGACCTCCCAGATGTTCCGCTCGCCGAGCTGCGCGTCACATGCCCTGTCCAGGTCGGAGTCCACTCGTCGGCCGTGTGCACCGCGCCCCGGCACTTACGAAGCTGCTTGGCGATGGGGTCCTTAGGCCAAAATGATGCTCTCGTCCTATTCCGTCTTGCTGATCTCGACCATGCTGCCGACGGAGCCCGCAGACTCCTCGCGCGGCAGCACTCTTCCCCCTGGAATACGCGCGGGCGGATCGGGTGCTGCACGCGGACATGGTCCAGGATATTCTGCGGCAGGAGGGTCTGGCCGGCTCGGTTCTTCACGCGTGCGTCGTAGCTCTCCAGCACGTCGACGATGCAGCGTCCTCTCTGGGCATGCGGGCGCAGTGGAAACCAGTTGCCGTCGCCACCCCAGCATGCCCGCTTCTTCTCGTAGCGCGCGACCATGCCAAGCCCTCCACGACGGGCCCGGCGAACAGGAATGGCGCGCAGCCTGAAATGGCACAAATCAGAACCCCGACAAAACGACCTCTAGAGAAGGAAGGAATAGATGCACACGCGGTCGCTTCGCCGACCGCATCGCTGCCATGCCTGAAACTTATGGGCCACGGTAAAAAACTGCATACTCTTCACTGGGAACCCATCCAGGACCTGCATCTTGCCGTGCGCATTGAGCATCTAATCTCCAAGTATCATACTTGTCGTTCCACTGCCACGCATGGTTTCCGCTGGGTATTGGTCTTCTGCGTTGCATGTCAGGTCGGGCCCCGTGTCGGAGATCATCCCGACGTCAGACGCGCCCGCAGACACGCGGGCTCGCCCCCTGCTCCTTCGCGCGTAATCGCGAGCAACATGTCCTCGGTACCCACATCTCGGGCATATCGTCTCTCCTGCAGCGTTGGGCAAGCCGCCCGCTGGGAACCCCGGCCGCGGTCCTCTACGGCAACCCGTCTCGCGGCGTCCCTTAGCTGGTTCTTCTTTGGCTTACTTGCCGTTCGGTCCTCCGCGCGCGCGGCCACCGCTTCCTCGAGAGATGATCGGGGCCGTGTTTCTGGCCGGCCTTGTCAGCGGCTGCGCAGCGGCCATGACGGAATGGAAGCCCCTGGTCAACCTCATGTCAGTGATCGTTTTCTGGGCGTCGGTGCGCGTGGCCATGACATCATCACGTTCGTCCACGCTGTACGCTGCCTGAAATGCGGACTGCACGTTAGCCGCGTCGCTGCAGTAGCAGGCCTCGCTGTCGAAGCCGGCGGCACCTCCGTGCTCCACTTGTATGTCGCCACCGCCGTCGTCGTAGCTGGGGCGTTCGTCATCCTCGCCGTAGCATGCTTCCTCCTGGTAGTCGTCCTCGTCGTAGTACCCGTCCACCAAATAGGCCGCAGCTGCAAAACTCGCCCGCTGCGACGGCAGCGAGTCCAGGCCAAACGTCATCTTCAAATGGTTCTCGACCTTGTCGAGGGTAAGGCCGCCCCCTTATCTGATTCGTGATGAATTGATTACCTTCCGTGTCCAGCCCAGATCGCCGAATGAGAAACCACCCCAGCACCTGGTCCAGGAGCGCGATACTGTAAGTTCTGATGTTTATTGCCGCCATGCGAAACTTTGCCAAATAATACATCAAGGTTTCCTTCTGCTTGCGAGCAGCTCCATCATCGTATTTGCACGCGCGATCCAGAGCCTCCAATATGGTCACTCAGCCATTCTTGTCCTCGATATCCCTGATGTATGAATCGTCTACTACGCCCCATGCTAGGCCCCACAGGCATTGCATGATCGCGAGACCGACGAACTTCTCTATCTCTTTACCTCGGGGCCTTGCTGCGTAGATACCCACCTTCTTCCTGAAATCCTTGGAGTTCTCGAGGGAGCCATCGAACTAGGGAGCCAGCGTGCTGCAGAATGCCGTATTTACCCGTGGTCTTTTGCCGCCCGGGGGCGGTCCCATCTTGTCCGTGGAGCCGTAGCTGCGCTACCAACGTCAGCAAGTCGATCGCACACCAAGAAGTCGTCACACAAATCTCGATTCACATCGCAAGCCTGCCAAATCGTCCTCGAACCCCTCCTCGCCGATCGCCCTGCGCGCCGGGGAGAGATGAGCGTTCCGCTTCGGTTAGTGCGAGAGGCCTCTCGAACTGAAACAGTAACGGTCCATGCAAACATGATTGCTCTATCTGCTGTCTGCTGCCACATAGTGCTGGAAACGAGGGGGGAACGTCACATTTAACATCTTAGTCATACAACCTCTGAAACATACATTGTACTGAGTACAACTCACACCAGCCCCTCCTGCATCGTCCTTGCAGCGCGCCTCACCCTTCTCGCTCCTGTCCCTGCCTTCAAGCAGCGTGCTGTCTTCTGTTGCCTCCTCCTCACCGTCCTTCCTGGCCCTTATTATGCTTCCAGTCGTCCGCGTCACCAGCTTCTCACTCCACGTTCGCTGCCCCAGCTTCCCCCGCTCGCCCGTGCACACCTCAAGCATAATTAGATTAGCGCCTCAGACATGGGCGATGGTTGCAGAAATCGGATGAAGGGCTGTCCTGACGGACTGCCCGAGCTCAACCCACGGTGGCGAGGGATTCCTCAGCGGCAAAACAAAACGCGCGGACACGAACGAGCCCATGTATTCAGTACATGCTCCCCTCGCGCAGTTTCGCTTCAAATGAGCCTTCGAAACCTCGAGATGGCCCCAAGATGGCCAAAGAGGGGCACTCAGTGCCCTAAAGGCCCCAGGAGAACACCTAGCTTCCCAACAGGGCCCTAAAAACAATGTGTCTGACCTCCATGTGGGCACCCCATGATAGATCGACGGCCTTCCAGAGCCCCCAGAAGGTTCCCAAGAGAGCCCCAACAAAGCTCCAAAGACTGCCAAAGGGCCCCAAGAAAGCCAAAGCATCGCTTCGAGAGGCCTTCAGGTGGCCCTCCGAGGATCCCCAAATTGGCCAAGATTTGGGGCTGCTTGGGCTAACCCCAGCTTCGGTCTGACGGGTGCCATCCCCCCCCGCTGGTTCACTGACACTCCTCCACCTCCCCTCCCGTAGCAGCTCGCACGTGAAAGGCTTCTGCATGGGCTCGTCCGCGCCACCGCTCGGACGTCCATCCCGTGTGCATGCTTCGATGTCGTGCGTGTGCTCTTTCGCAAGATGATCCGCGATGCTCCTCGAGGGTCTTCGCCGAGAACAAATGCACACGTCCGAGCGATGCCAGGGGTCAGGATGCGCGAAGCGTCCGAGGTCCCAGGGCGTCTCCGTGGTGCCCCTGAAAACCTGAGAAGTCACAGGAGGTCTCTGGAGGTCGACGAAAGCCCCTGGAGGTCGAAGGGGGCCCCGGGAGGCCCCATCATTCGAATAGGGGATCGACTGCAGAATGGATTTACCCCAAATTTGATGTTTCCGTCGGTCTACGAGAAACACGTAGGATGATCCGTGCATGTACGGAGCATGTGCACACATGTTTCGCAACTTCGGCGAAAGAACCACTATCGGGACTCATCAGTTCTGCTGTCGATCCCCTAATCGGATGATGCAGGTCCCGGGAGGCCCAAGAAGCACAAAAGTGCCCAGTGCCCCTGGAGGCCCCTGGAAGCCCCAGAAGGCCCTGTGAGGTCTGCAGAGGCGCCTGGAGAGGCACGTCAAGGATTTGCCGAATGCTGCATATCATGCGGCGGCAGGCATTGGGGAAACCAAAAGTTGCCGATGCCGCTACTCCCCGGACCTGTCCTGGGGTGCGTTCTGACAAGGATCCTGAGGCGAAACCAGCCGTGGTGACGAGGGCCTCCCAAGAGGTCCACAAAGGCGGACACGAGGCAGGGGTAGCGGTGTCGGCACTCTGTCTTCCCCTGAGAGTTGCCGAATGCTGCAACCTCATCTGGCGGCAGATGGAACAAACAACCGCAAAGCGAGCCGTGAACAAAAAAAGAAAACGTGTTCCCACAGACGCTGCAGGGCGCGCCGAGGCAAAGCGTGCGCACGGGGCCGTAGTCCGCCGGCGAGGGGTTCTCCAGCGAGTAGATGTCCTTCGACGCTGCGCTTGCGACAACGACGACGACGACGGCGAGTAGATGTCCTTCGCCGCTGCGCTGCAGCGCCACGCTCGCCTCAGCATGCGCCCACTGACCCTCAGATCTGGGTGTTGCAATTTTTGCACAACGGGCGTTTTCTCCATGTTTCGTTTTCTGGGACATTCGCAGATCGATCCGGCTCGAAAAGTGATGCAGACAGGTGCAATCGAGGGCTGTCGTGATTTACCGGGATGCTGACTCTTCGCAACGTCGGATCTCAAGGGAGGTCCTTCAATGCAGCGATCTGGCCCCTGAGCGTAACCATGACAACCAGGAATACGAGGACTGCTGCGCTGAGGGTGGTTGATGCGCTGGCACACCGAGATCCTTGAGTTCAGTGGTTTTGGCTCTCCGGGTCACCATGGTGATGCTCCAAGGCCATATCGCTGAGCTGCACGAGCTCGGTGTGCGCACAGCAGGCCCACGCCACTATGACGTCGGCTTGAGTTTCTGACACCGCGTGGGCCGCTCATCCCCGAGAGGTCGCGGCTCCCCGACAGCGCAGATCGTTCAAGATCGGCCTGTGCCAGGCCATTGCGAGCGCGCTTCCCCCCCCATGCCGCCTTTCTCTGCGACCGCTCCCTATCCTTTTTTTCTGGTGGCAGTTCATGGGAGCCTCCCATGCCATCTTGCCAGCCCTTGCGAATCGGCGCCGACCGACGCCAATCGACGCAAATCGACGCCAAGCCGGCGCAAATCGACCCTAGATCGGAGCTAGCTCACCGACTACCAGACGCCAGTCGACGCTAATGCACTCTAGAATCGGAATGACGAAGTTACAGAAGGCTGCCATGATTCGTTCCCCACCATTACCATATGTACATGTGCGAAAAAGCTCTGCGGCGACGGCTGCTGCTTCACAACGTTTCGAGACCCACGTCGCCGCCCGCTGGAAAAGGATGCCCGGTGACGTACCAAGCCCTTGTTCTACACATGTGGCGAATCTGTGTATGTGTATATATATACATGTATATATATATATATATGAACACCCCAACCCAACCCGAAGACCCGAATTTCGGGTTGGGGGGGGTAAGGGTTCCACGCGTGTTTGTTTCGATGTTTCCCGACCCACCCCCCACTAGAAATCGAGGGTAAATCTGAGCCTTCGGGTTGGGTTGGGGTGGTTTGGTGGGTGGTAAATATAGGAACGCTCATTGCAAACAAACATGTTGCAGGACCCGCAGTGCGCAGGAGTTTCCAGAAGTACGCAGTAAAGCACGCAGGGATCTACAAGATGGAGACGGAGACAGAAGCAGGCAGAGAGGGGTGTGAAGGAGGGACGTGCATGTTCAGCAACAACACCAGCGCCGAGCGCCACACACGCGGAAAAAAACAGCGCCATCGCTCGTTCCATAGCAGAACAGCGCGTCGCGCTGAGCGAGGCATGTGCGCCAGAGGCAGCTGAGGATGGGAGGCCACGCGGACAAAAAAACAGTGCCATGCGCTGCGTGGCGCAGCGACTCCCTGCGAGCTGTGATGCGACAACGCCGAGCGCTGCGTGACGGGAGAGCGCCGCACGCCATGGGAACCCCTGCCATTTCGGATGCGAGTACTTGTCGTCAGTTGCATGTCTCGTCGCGACCTCTCAGGAGCCCGCAAAAAAACGACTGTTGCGCACATCGCAGCCACGCAAGGAGCCGCGAGGTCCCAACTGGGTCTGCGTACCACTCCACTCCGCGCGACCTCCCAGGAGCCCACCAAAGTGGCGACATTTGCGCACTTCGCAGCCACGCAAGGAGCCGCGAAGCCACAACTGGGTCTGCGTACCACTTCCCTCCGCTGGACCTCCCAGGAGTCCACAAAAGTGGCGACACTTGCGCACTTCGCAGCCACGCAGGGAGCCGCGAGGTCCCAACTGGGTCTGTGTACCACTCAACTCCGCGCGACCTCCCAGGAGCCTACAAAAAAGCGACCGTTGCGCACTTCGCAGCCACGCAGGGAGCCGCGAGGTCCCAACTGGGTCTGCGTACCACTCCACTCCGCTGGACCTCCCAGGAGCCCAAAAAATGGCGACACTTGCGGCACTTCGCAGCCACACGAAAAAACGCAAGGTCCCAACTGGGTCTGCGTACCACACCACTCCACTGGACCTCCCAGGAGTCCACACAAGTGGCGACACTTGCGCATTTCGCAGCCACGCAGGGAGCCGCGAGGTCCCAACTGGGTCTGCGTACCACTCCACTCCGCTGGACCTCCCAGGAGCCCACAAAAGTGGCGACATTTGCGCACTTCGCAGCCACGCAGGGAGTCGCGAAGTCCCAACTGGGTCTGCGTACCATTCCACTCCACTGGACCTCCCTGGAGCACACGCCAGTGGCGACAGTTGTGCACTTCGCAACTCCCTAGGGGAGCCGTGAAGTCCCAACTAGGTCTGCGTACCACTCCACTCCGCGCGACCTCTCAGGAGCCCACGAAATGGGGGACAGTTGCGCACTTCGCAGCCTTGCAGGAGCCGCGAGGTCTCGACGTGTCATGCGTGACTACCGACTCCGCTGCACCTCCCAGGAACCCACGAAAGTGGCGACAGGGAGAGCACCGCGCGAAATTGGCCAGGCGGCAAAAGCAGGACAAAGGAGAGACAGGAGACAGGAGACAGGAAGAGGAGACGGGAGGCAGGAAGTGGGAGGCAGGAGGCAGGACGGGGAGGAAAGGAAACTCGACCACAGTGCTCTATTCAAACGAGAACCGAACACAGGAGGGTTGGGACAAAATCTGAGCTACTGGCGGCATCCATTGGCGGCGCGCACAAGGGCCGCTTCTTAGAAGGCCAGCTCGACATCTGCAGACAAAGCCCGCGCCTTCTAAGGAGCAGGGGTGCATCAGCGTAGCAACTGCCGACGGCCCGCGCGGGTTCCTCGGACCTGCGCTGGAGCCCCCGCCCTGGCGCGTAGGGGGCCCCAGCCCAGATCCAAGAGATCCGCGCGGAGCCCCCCGCAGTTTCTGTGTATGGCGTTGCTATTCTTCTTCGATCCTCACGAAGCCTCCCCCCGCCCCCCACCCTGCGCGTGGCCGCACAGATAGACGAGCGCGTTGCACTACTCGCAGAGTAGCTGCTCGCGGAGTGCCTGGATCCGCCGCGGGGGACCCACGAGAAATCGCATCGAAGCAGGCGTGTGCTCTTCGGGCGGTTGCGAGTAGGCACTTTGCGAGTACAGTCGGGGCGTTGACCAAAGGAACCCGAAATAAGGAACGAGGCCCCTTCTTTCCATAAGTTAGACTTCGATTTCCGATCGAAAACATGAGGAAAACCTGAGGCAAGCTGCGAAACACTTGAGGAACGCGGAGCCCCTCCCCAACGAAAAGGGTTCCTTCTTCAGGGCCCCGAGTGTAGTGGATCGACTGCAGAGTTGATTTGCACCAGACTTGATCGTTTCGCCGAGCCTACGAAAATTGCGCAGAATGTTCTGTTGATCCACGGAACATTCTACGCGATTTTGTTCGTAGACCCGCCGGGAAACCAATTTCGGGGTAACTCAACGCGCTCGGTGAGCACAAGCGCGGTGGCTCCAGGCCGCCGGGCCCCCGTCGCGCGCGGCGCGCGCCGCCGGCGCGTCCGCGCTGCCGCCTGGGCGGCGCTCGCGCGCGGCCGGCCCAGGGCCCCGGAGCCGTGACTTTTTCAGCGCGTCGGCCCCCACAGGTCTCGACCCCTTCCCCAGGACCTGCTTTTCTCCTCCTCCCCCCCCGCCGCCTCCTCCTCATCGTCCCTCCCTCCCTCCCTCTCCCTCCCTCCCTCCCTCCCTGCCTCCCTCCCTCCCTGCCCTCCCCCCCCCTCCCCTCCCCTCCCCTCCACAGTTACTCAATATGAATACTACTCTCCTCCTTCCCCTGATGACGGGTTGGGAGTGGTCGCCCCGCGTACTGCTTTTTACATACAAGATTCCCCGGAGTTGGGTTTTCGCCTGCATTTTTTTTCAAAATGCTGATCTCGCTGAAGCGCCTGCCGCATTTTCGGGCCCCGTTCGTTCCGAATCGTGCTCCCGCTGCAGCGCTGGCCTCATTTTCGCGTTTCCGCTCGTTCCGAATCGTGCTCCCGCCGCAGCGCTGGCGTCATTTCCCGCGCCATGCCACGGCATGCAATGCTATACTAGGTTGCGTTCCGCTGCGCGATGCCATGCCTTCAGCTGAAACTGTGATATGCAGTGATTAAGTGCCACGTCGTGCTATGCCATGCTACGCTTTGGTCTTCAACGCCATGCTATGCAATGTTATGTATGGGGCCGCTGTGCGATGTCATGCTTTGCATTGCAAAGCTTTGTGATGCAATTCGTCACTACGCCACGCCACGCCATGCTGTGACATACTACGCTTTGCGGTGCTCTTCTACGCCATGCCACGCCGTGCTCTACAATGCATCGCGTACCCTTTCGGGATCATTGCCCTGCTCGACATCCGACTGTGCGAGTAGAGAGGGGATCTGCGCCATGGTAAGGGATGGGAGGGAGGGGTAGGATGTCAGATATGACGCGAGCGCGCACCTATCCTCATGGATAAGGTGCCCTCATGGACATAGGGAAGGATGTAGTAGAGAGGGGAATCTCCGCCATGGTAAGGGATGGGAAGAGGGTATATGTCGTATGACGCGAGCGACCTAGCTTGCTCCCCTTCCTGCCCTCCCTCCTCCCTCCCTCCCGCCCGCCCGCCCGCCCGCCCGCCCGCCCGCCCGCCCGCCCTCGCCCGCCCCCGCCCGCCCGCCCGCCGCCCGCCCGCCCGCCCGCCCGCCCCCGCCCGCCCCCCCCGCCCGCCTCCTCCTCCTCCTCCTCCTCCTCCTCCTCCGTCCTCCTCCTCCTCCTCCTCCTCCCTCCTCCTCCTCCTCCTCCTCCTCTCCTCCATCCTCCTCCTCCTCCTCCTCCTCCTCCTCCTCCTCCTCTCCTCCTCCTCCTCCCTCCTCCTCCTCCTCCTCCTCCTCCTCCTCCTCCTCCTCCGCCACCTCCTCCCCCCCTCCTCCTCCTCCT